TTGAAATGTGCAGTTCATTTCAGTGCAGCTTATTTTAAATTAGTCTGCATCTTTGCAGTAATGCCAGAATGATGCAAATCAAGACAGTCTAGAATACAGATCTATAGATGCATAGATAGACTTACTGAAGCAGAGGCTGGTGTGGCAATTCTGAGATAAAACCTACATACAAATAGAAATGTTGTCCCAAAACATTAAAAATCCATGGATCTAAAACTGACAACAGTTCTTCCTGAGTTGAACATAAACATCTGTGCAAAATTTCATAGCAATTCATCCAAAAACAGCTGAGAGTTGATATTTTGCTTAAAACCATAAATGCCCACTGCTCGGTGGCACCAAAACTCAGGAGAATTTATCATGAATGTCTGACTGAAATGTCACGTTAATCCAGTCAGATGTTGTTGACATGTTTGTTTTGACCCACCGAACACCATTGACTGTGGTATTTTCCGAGTCAGTACCTCATCTCTCTGCAGAGTGTTTGTTGTGACGGAACACGACAGCACAAAATGAGATTACCTCTAAACATTATCGGTGGCATCGTTTATGTCGAGGTACGAGCAGCGAGCGGCTGCTTAACTCTACTGCCTCTCCACCGCTAATTGGAAAATGAACAAATTGAAATAATGTTAAACGCCTTTCACGAAGCAACTATTATACATGACATCTTTGTTCATTTAGAAGTAGTTAAACACCTCTACAGGCTGTGTGGTCGATTTTATGGGTAATTCATTGCTCACAGTGCAGTAAATGTGCATTCGTTTGTAAATTATCAATTGCAGTTTCGGCTCACCAAAACTGTCAATCAAAGAATATCTTTTTTTCTACTGATGGTATTAAAATGCACAATATAGAGTTACAAACATTTGGAGCAGCAGAGGGATGAAGAGGTTTCTGCTGAGAGATGTCAGATTATAGAGAAGTACATTTTGATGCTTACGTTTATGTACATTTAGATGGAAAACCTGCACCGACTTCGTATGTTTGTTTCCTCTGCAGGTACACAGTTCTGGTGCCTCCTGGACATCGTGCCCATTAAGAATGAGAAGGGCGAGGTGGTTCTGTTCCTCGTGTCCCACAAAGACATCACGGACAAGAAGAAGGACCAGGATCCTGAGCAAGGACCCGACACTGGTGAGTTTACAGAAATAACTGCTGCTTTCAGCTCTCAGACTTGTCCTCAACCTACGCTAGCAACTTTGATAATGTCAAGTTAATTCAAAATAAAATGTCTTTGTATCTGAAGTATTTTTGCTCTGCAGCTGTGGACTAAGTTGCTTGTTAGAATAAACTAAAAAAGCAACTTCCACTCATTGGTGGGCTGTGCTGCCAGTAATGAAACCAGATGTGACAGCATGAAGATCATAGAGAGTCAGTTAAGCTCAGTTTACTGATAACGCCTGATTACCATGAATCCTAGCTGGTAAAAGTTTGAAAAACTACTGGTGTAAAATAGTCACTGAGGAGACAGGTGTTGATGGTATTGCTTCACAAAATCAACCCGCCTCTTCTTCATCTCAACATTCTGAGGAGTTTTAAATAAGGATGCTGAACCGCTCTGCAAATCCTGGCATGTAGAGAGGACGCATCAGCAAAGCTAGCTAGCAAACTGCAGCTGAAACCCTGATGCTGATGCACTCTAGTTTTTGTAGCCTTATAATGTGCAATGAAGAAGGTTCATGACTGCTACTATATGAAGGAAAAATGGATCCAAAGTAGTCTCCTCGTGCTCTGCTCCCTGTGCTTCTGGCACATTTGAGCGCTTCCCCTGGAAGTACAGCTCAAAGCACTTATTTTACCATTTTTCCAGTGCAAACATCAAACTGACCCGATCTTCATGTCAAGACTCATGGTACGACAGTAGTCTTCAGTGGAAAAGCCAAAGCCTCCAAGACTGGAGAAGGTGCATCAGGTCAGGAGCAGGAGCGTGTGGGGTTTTTTTTTAGATTCACATGGTTGTGCATCATTAATTCATTCCCCAGAGACAGACTGTAGATGCAGAGTCATACATCTGAGATAAACAACCGAAACTATGCCATCAATAGTAATAATAATAATACATTTTATTAGAGGCGCCTTTCTCAGCACTCAAGGACACCCTACATACATTAGACAGATCGATTAAGGTACGAGCACTAACATACACCTGCTCACAAAAGAATTTTTTGGCTACACTAACACAACTCTTCACCTGCCTTACTTGCCAGATTGGACATTTTTGGATTTGGTTCCCTGCAATGACTTCTTCCTTGTTCTTCCCCAAAATGAAATTCACGTTGAAGGGTTTTGACACAGTGGAGGAGATCCCGGGAGCACTGCACATGGTGGACATGATTTCAAATGTGGCTGGATCACTGGAAGCTGTGTATCACTGCACAAGAAGACTACCTCGAAGGCGATGGCAGTGAAAAAACAGTTTTCAGCCTTTTCTATCTCTGCTTTCTTACTTCTTGATCATTTCATACATAGTGTTAGTGGGAGATTCATGCTAAGTATGACTGCAGCGAATCATCCAGCCCTAATTTCTGACGTGTCCAAAAATCCTAAACACAGAAAAGTTTAATGATCAAACTCCACGATTCAGTACCATATAGTTTTGTAGCTTTTCACATGATTTTCTGACATGGGTAATGTGTTAAGGAACAAATCTCACAATTTCCTTAACAAAAAATTAAATAAATAAAAGCATATAGAGGACTTATTGTTGTTCTATTTCTGTCTTCATGGATAATTCCAGCTTGCTCTATGAGTCATGCTTACTTTGTGCTCTCCACCTCGAACCCAATCACATACCTACTAAAAATAAAACTCTAAAGCATTGTTTACGGAGCAGAAATATCACATGCAATCAGCACGCGGTAATATCTGCTGTGTGACACTGATGTCACCATGTAAATGTTTTTATTATGTCAATAGCGAGCTAATCATCCTGACTGTATAGCTACAGCATCGTTTTAATTACCCTTAAGCACTGGGGAGGGTAACAGCATGCAGAACATTTTGCCCTCCAGCTGCATCTGCAGTTATTTTCATTTCAAGCAATACAGCAATTAAGCAACAATTAATAATTTTAATCGTCTTCCTCCCCCAGTGTAAATCTCACCCTGATTAAATAATTGTGTCTGTCAATTTGAGGATTTCATAAATATTAATGCCTTCCTTGAATCAAGTGCACATATTGAACCGTGAACATCCAGTCAGAGATTACACAGACTGCTACCCATTGTGAGATGTGATGTGCAGATGCTTGACAGAGAGGCCACAATTTAAACTACCACACAGTTTTTGGGAGTTAATTAGAGTAATCCAGGAATCGATTTAAGTCGGGGAAATGTGCAAACACCAGTGAAACCGTCTTTGTACACAATTACTGACATTCAGACTTCAGTGAAATAACAATAAATGTTCTAAATGGGTAGAAGTTAGTCATGTTTCTGACCTAATCACTCCGTTCACATCCGTTCATTAACAAACATGATGATATGGATACATGTCCCTGTGATGGTGATGGAGTTGTTGTTGCAAGCAGGATATCCGGCACATAAAGTGGGTTTTTATTTGTTGTAAAATCTTTATCTAACCGAGTACAGAGCTGAATGTTCAGTCCAGACAGTCTTTTCTTTGATTTCTTCTATTTGACTATCTCCATTTTCCCCAGATATGGACAACAGAGATGAAGGTTCAAAGTTGGCGTAATCCAGAGAAACTCAACTGACATGTTAATGGATAACACACCAGAATTATCATTTAACCCTTTTAAACCCAAAACTTACCAGCAGGCTTGAAAAGCATGTAGTTTTTTTAAAAATCACCTGAACTTCGACATCTATCAGCCAGAAATGGTAGAACAGTGAGAATAATCAGATTTTTAACCTTTAGGTGGTCATTTAACGAATCATGTGTGACCTGTGGTTCTGTCTGGAAAATGAACTATTGATATTTTATCAAAGCCACTTTGTTCTAAATTTAAAAGTCTACCAAAAATAAACTGGTTCATTGGCGATTCCTCACACAACTGAATATTAATCATGGTGTTGCTTCGTGGAACAGTGATTTGTGAGAGTTTTTTAGACAAACCAAACCAGAAAAATTGTGCAGTCCTGCCAGTTGGACTGTCAAAAAACGTGTAGTTCATGCACAAACAGGTTTTTTAAGTCTTTTAATTTGAAAGACTTACTGATATAAAGGCAGAGTTATGGTTCTGCTTTGGTGTCCAATTGCTAATTGGATGAAAGTTTGGCTGAAGCCGGACAGAGTAACGACTTCTTCCCTTCAGAGGATGATGTAGCAGGCCAACTACTCTCCATTACTCTTATCCCTAGGTTTTGCTTCAGGATGACTTCTGTCTTTTTCTCAGCATGTGCTAAAGCAAAATGACCAACAACATCACAAACACCAACAATTGTGTCCTCCAGTTACGGTTGTTCCTCGATTTTTCTCCCAAAGTGGCAACAAGAAGCTAAAACAGTCTGCAGAGTGCTACGTCGCACCAACACAGCAGCATGTTTTGGTGTTTCGTCTACTTATTTCATTTTTTGGGTTGCTGAAAATAGCTTTTAACTTGCAGGGCGTTCAAAAATATCCTTCACCAAGATGCTGCTCTGGTGCAAAGTGAGTCTTAAACCTATTCAGCCATCCACCATCATTAGCTTTCTCTGCCTGAAGGCTAAACCTAAGTTCACCTGCAACATAACACGAAATCTGACCAATGAAAAGACGTTTAGTTGCGAATCTGTCGGCTGCTCGCTTGTGTTTTCCTTGGAGCACACCTTATTGATTGACCCTCACTTCAGTTCTTCTTGCCTGGAGTTGTTTGAGCTGTTTCTCTTTCTTCGAGAAATCCCTACATACGGAGCTGAAATAGCAGATGTGAATGTCGAAGAGGTTTTGCACTGAGTCTCTGAGGTTTTGAATCACTGCGAGGTCTGAACACAAACTTTCAATATTTTCTAATCCTGCAGACGGCAACAAACCTTACTTTTAAGCTTGTCGACCCTGTTGCCAGCGCAGGTTTACATGCTATAATTTCAGAGCTGCATATCGAGCCTGCAGAGAGAGACGCCGGGTAATCAAGACTCTCAAGATGAAGTGGGGTGTTTAAAATTTTAGCTTTTTTTAAGATTGCCTTTCAGCGCTGCCGTCTGCAGTGCGTCCTGGTGGGGAAGAAGCACCTGTTTGAAATCACTTAACCAATTTTCCTCCACTTGGCCGGCAGCGCTCTCATTTGGTTGAATATCTACGTCTGACATGATTGAATCCTGCTTTCATACACTCTGGATGTGTTTTACCCACCACAGGAGCTATTATGCTTTAAATTCAAGCTACCAAATTTGGAGCTCAAACAACAGAACAAATGGGAAAGAAAGGAAAGATGAAGAAAAGAGGATTTAAATGGTTGCTATTTATTGAGTCATTACCGACAACAACATCCAGGGCTAAACGAACACTTCTGGATGTGAGAAAGACTGGAGCACAAGTGGAAAATAAGTGAAAAGGAGAGACTTTGACATTTATGGTGAGATGAGTTGACGCATACAATCCCATTTACCTGCTTATGGGAGCCTGCAGATCGGCCGAACGGCTCGGTTTTGCCACTTAGCTCAGAGTGACGTGTTTTTCATAACATGCAATCTATTAGCGAGATAAACGAGGGGTAAGGAAAGCGGGAAAACTCTAGGAAAGCAAAGAAAAGTCAAAGAGGCTTCGGCTGCTTAACCGTTCTCGATATGCAGAGAAGAAGTGCCTATAAAAACAGACACGGCATGTTCAGACACATGCGTACTGAATTAATTGGCTTTATTAATAATTTAAAGCCTATAGCCGGCTCATTTTACCCGCCAGCTCAAGCAATCTCCCCCAGAGAACATGCTGTACACTCCCGCTCCATCCATAAACAGCAGAATGAGGAGAATCCACCCTATAGCATGCAAATACCATCTTTGCTGCGTTCCCCAGTCTGCAGACAGCACATGCATGTTGAGCAGCTGAAGGTGTTTCAGTGACCCTCAGACGTCAGTTTCCTTCAGTGTATTAACCCTCTGAACTCCAGCAGGTTCTGGGTGTTTCCTTGTGCCTCTTGCATTTTTCCTCATTTGTCACTGCAATATAAAGTCCTGCACCATTATGGACAGAACAACCATGAAGGAGCAAGAGAGAGCATTTTATTTAAGCTCTAGCAGCATCTCTGCCCAAAGAAGACCACTGCTACCTATACTCCTCATGTTTTTTTGTTTTTTATTTTACCTAGGATGATGAATAAATAATGTTATTAAACCCCTGATACATCTTCTAATGCAGCAGTGTTCAACCTTTTTTGCACCACGGACCGGTTTTAAGCAAGAAATTTTTCTACTAACCGGTCATTACGCACATAACAAATAATAATTGTTTTTTTTTCTATTGAAAAGTTTCATCAATCAACAAAATTCATTTTTATTGCTTAACATGTTTACTTTTTCTCCTGTCTCAGTATCAAGTCTCTCCCACTTTCCAAAGCAGCTCTCCTGAGACGTTTGTTTTTGACTGACGGCTTCGTTTAGCAGCCGGGCATAAAAACTGACAGTCAAGTGCGGGAAACGAGCACAAACGGAAGTGACGGGAAGACGAGCTAGTCATGTTTCAAAAATAAAACACCCTGCAGACGTCGCTGGAATAAAAAAAAAAAACAATAAAACGTTTTTATTCTATCTGTGCAGCCCGGTACCAAATGACCCACGGCCCGGTTCCGGTCCGCGGCCCGGTGGTTGGGGAACGCTGTTCTAATGAATATCTTAGCGCTAAGCTAATGGGCTGCTGGCCACAGCTAGATATTTATAAATAAGTTTTTCTTTCTAGCAGACAAATGTTGTGCTTTTTACCTTCATTATAGAAATTTGATAATTTTAGTACAAAGTGAGATTTAGCTAAACAATAGTGAATATAATCAGCAGATAAATGATGACGTAATGAATCCTTTGAACCCAAGACTATCTAACTTTACACATAAGGCGTGTTTTCTTTTTAAAAAGTCCAAAATTACACCATTTATTCATCCTAGAAACTGTAAAACTTCTGACTATTGGTTCTGTAGGAAAAATCCAAGCTTGAAATTTTGCTTAATTAATTATTGTGCTTAAAAATCTAAGTTGTAAAATATTAATACCTTATGTAATCACCGTTTTCTCCAGTACTGGTAACACCTGAAAAAGTTGTATGTGTTGATTTTAGGTTTTGTCTTTTTGTTTTCATGATCTGTTGCATTCTGACTGTGTTATACTGCACGTGATCTAGAAACACAGATTAGTTGACGGTCTTTAACTTTACACTTGTGCTCTGCAACTGCTGCTGCGTCACCTTCCTCGCCTTGTTGAGGCCTCATGTCTGTCTCCACTGAATGACCTCCAGCTGCAGGTTCACACAGAGCCACAGATGTTTTCTCTGAGCAGCTCGAAATCCATCCTGGATATTATGAACAAATCAAATTTACTTGCTGAAAATGAAAAGGATTTGGTTACATGGGTGTGTGTTTTCCAAGCAGGACATTATATTATTACGGACGGGGGGAACAATTGAAGTAGGAAATGAAAAGTGGAAATGAAGTAAACGAGGGAATATTTTCCGTGTGGATGATAACAGAAAACAGCTCCTGTTAATACATCTATTGTACCACTGAGGCCTCTGTGTGATCTTTTCTCCCGTATGGAGAAACTGCTCAGTGTAGGTTAACAGGATGACATAACCAATCATTATTATTGATCCTGTTCCATAGAGTTCCACCTTAAGAACACCTTGAGTCAATAAAGGACCACATAGGCAGACATCAGCTCAGTGTCATATCAAATATTTACAGAAAACTTGAGCAGCATCAGGTTGGGCTGCTTCACTGGGACGGCATCATTGTCAAACTTGATTTTAATGAAGTCAGAAGGCTTAAGATGAGGTACAGGTTGTTTTCACTGCCGTCAACCGATTACAGACAGCTGTCAAAGCTCTACCTCTGGGCAGACAGAGGGCTGAAAACAGACCGAGGCAGGTTGAAATTCTCCTCCTGTGCTGTGGATCGAGTCGATGCTCAGCGTGTTTCCGTCTCCCCCACAGATGAGGAGACGGGTTTGGAGGTGCATCAGGTAACTCGCCCTCCGGGTTTTAACGCCAACCGGCGCCGCAGCCGAGCCGTGCTCTACCACCTGTCAGGACACCTGCAGAAACAAGACAAGAGCAAGCTCAAGATCAACAACGTGAGTTTGTCTGCATTGCACAACATCTGTGTGGATCATGTTTAACCTGTTTCTGCAGACACCGAGGACGCTGCTGTGAAACCAAAATGAAGAAGTGCATCATGCAAGCAATCAATCAAACCTTGAACAAATTCTACATTTTTAAATTAATCAAATGTACATTGTTAAAATAAAAAAAAGAAGAAGAAGATAAAATTATTGCAACAAGGTGCAAGAAAAGAAAAGCAAGATACTGTAACACTGAAAAATAGTGAAAATAACAAATATCCTTAAAATAATTCTAGTTTTAGCTGATTTGAATATAGTACAGTGTGATTTTACTAGATATTGTCTGTAAGTTGAGGAAAATCTGTAAAATAACAGTTAAGAAATGATTTACCATGTTTAAGTTCTTTCATTTTCTTTTCTTTCATATAACAACAAATATGTTTAAGATAAAGATATTTTTTGCCAATTTAAATACAGTAAAAATAGCATAATTTTATATATGAATAACTATTTGTAAAAATGCAGATTGTTGATATGGACATTATTTGTAGCTTTGGCCTTTTTCCCAGGGTTTATGTGTCAAAAAACAAAGAACAGCTATTTTCTGGGATTTTACTCGATATTACTGCTGTTTCTAACAAAGATGGAAAAGATCTGATCTTATCTGTGACAACTGTGGATTTACAAAAGGCCTAAGTCTTCTGTTCTGAGCACCCTGGGCAAAATTCTTTTGATTGTAATTCTAATTTTGCAATGTTATTACTGACAGTACAGCATCTCTTTATTAATTGAACATGGTAAAATAATGTGTTTTTGCTGCAGGACATGAGAAAAAACAAAATCATTGGAGTTCTGTATTGATGTGAATATTTGCAGGAGTTTGCACAAATTGCAGAAAAACGTGATTCCGATGCAGTTTAAATTCAAAAAGCAGATTTTGCTTTATTGATTTTTTACATCATGTAAATTATCAAAAAACTAGAAGCATAATGGCAGTTTTTTATAGTCTGAGAGGCTTTTTACTAAAACACATCGTACTGGACTTGTGTGTGACATTGTTCATACATGTGGTGTAAGGGGCGTGTACTTTCCAAAATCAGACATTTGGGCCTTAATTACAGCATCCCCCATGTGGTTGATTTGGCTCCATTTTCTGCAGCTCATTTCCAGCTATTGGGCCAAGTTTCAGGTTTCTGGCTCATTCCAGCTTTCGACAATTTAAGCTCCAATAATATAATAATTAAAGTAATATTAAACCAACGCAGACTCAACAGGTTTCTACCCCTTTGAGGTATGAACTGTAATTAAGTGCAAATACATTTTTAAAAAGCCTGTTCAATACCTTGTATTCTCATGTAGATAAATAAATGGAGACATTTATGCTGATAAATGTGTGATAAATAAGTGTCTCCTTTAATTTAAATCATTAGCAGCAAGAATTATGAAACAGAGAAATCCTGACCTGCAGCAGAGTATTAAAACGCCGGTCTAACTGTGTGGACACTAATGCCACACAATCATTTACTTCATCTTAGATTTTTGGAGTAATAATTTGTTTGAGTGCCAGAGGACGCACAAAGGCTTGTCAGCCTGAGCTCATTATTTCTACTTTCAGACTTTAGCGCTGCTGACGTCATAGAGGTAAGAATATTGTGTTTCTGGAGGATAAATATGGTACGAGCCAAACTTTAAAATCCCTACAGGTTGTTGAAACACCAAACATTCTTCAAAGCCTTTTTTTTTCCAGACAGAGAAAAAGTTGTTCCTGCAATACAATGAAAAGAAGTTTAATTGTTTCCCAAGTTGCAGCTTTGTCTCTCGAACTGAACAACAGGGGAGCACAAAGTGATTTATGACCTGAAGGGTTTTTAAAAAAAGTCTGGCTTGTTTTAATTTACTTTAGTGTAGACTTAGACTAAGGATGCTCGAAAATAATAAAGGAGACTGCACTTTTTTATAAGTTTCAGAGAGACGATAGGCGACTTTCTACTGCAGGAACTCAAGACAGGTGGGAAGTGGCACGAAAGTTTGCATGTGCAACCTCGTAATTCAGCCTATTCAGCCTTTCTGTTTCCATTGCATCGTAGGATTCAACAGCTTAGACTGTGACGTTACCTCTGAGTAAAACAAAACAAATCGTAGTTACTGGATGTAACTAACTGGTTGAAAGAAATTTTTAAAACTATATTATCTTGGACAGAAAGTAGTATTTTGGGTGGAATAGACCTTTAAAACTATAACTTGCTTGTTAGAAAGAAGGATTTTGAGTGGGAAAATAACTTAAAAAGCATAACTTGTGAGTAAGTTAGCTCTAATTGGGTCAAAGAAAGCATTAAAACTACACATGATTGGTAAGAAAGTAGTGTTTGATAAATGTGCTCATCTGTCTCTCTGTGTAAACAATAGCTTTCAGTGATTGGCTGTTACCTGTCGACATGTAACAGCCAATCACATGGAGCTGTGGGCGGAACATTGCTTGAGAACACAGAGTGACTGCAGAGAGAGAGAGTGGGCTGAATAATGTATTTTGTCATAATCTCTCAATAAAAATAACCATTAATAACCAAATACCAATTTCCTAAAAATGCCAAAAGCCGCCCACAGTAATCAGTTTGGCCAAAAATCTGCCGATCCCTACAGCAGAACTTCTTTCAAATGCTGGTTGCTTAAACTCTGAGAGAATAACGAGTGTTTTCCTCTCTAACATCAGCATTAGCGTTGTAAAATTCAACATACAGGCTAACATAACAAACCTCCATTGTTTTATTTCCTACATAGATGGTACAGTGACACAGTCTCAGTCAACGTTGTGGTCAAAGCTGTTGATTCTACACCACAATGCAAACAGGAAGGCAGATCAGGAGTCCAGTACTGTAAACCAGCTCCTCCTCTGAGTTCCTGCAGTGGAAAGCTGCCTAATGAATATTGATGATGATCCAGTTTGAGTAAAACAATGTGTGATCAGATGGCAAAACACTGAAGAACAGCTTGTAATACTCACAAACTGGATTTTTACAACTCTGGAGGATTATCATGGTGGAAATGGAGTCGATCATCTTGGCTCAGATGATGATCAGTGCAGCTCTGTAGGTTTCCTGCAGGAGAAGCCTGACAGATGGTGTGAAGGACACCAAGACTGTCTTCGCATTCTGGCGGACTCCCGAGTCAAAGAGCTTCATTTAGCTGATGTCAGTGATACAGAAACATGCACACATAGGCAGTTTGTATCCTGCAAGTCAGATGTCCACTAATCAAAGAATTATGCGTTTTATGTTGTGGTTTTTATCTGTAAAAGCAGCAAAACTTACCTGTTGTTTGAGTGTAGTAAATTAAAATCATCCAAATAGTCCTATTTTACAGATCTAACAACACCACCCTGTAAAATGATTCCACTCCATACATTGTATTCTCCATATCTCTAAGTATAACCAAGAAAATGTACTAAAAATGTTAAGTGACAGTACAGTCATGACTTAACATTCCGACCCTTAACAATCCGAAAACCTTGCTATCCGACAGGTTTTTAGGAAAAAACTAATGGAACCAACCGATGAGAAACAGCCTTAACATACCAACAGCCTTGGATTCTGACTCTGACACGACATTTTATGTCACAAATAAGGATAACAGTGTATTATCTGACTTAACAGTCTGACAGATAGGCAACGTTCAGACTGCAGGACTTGATGCTCAATTCAGATTTCTTTTGTGAAATTTGATTTTTTGCGAATTTGTTCACATTTCCAATTAAATGCGACTTGTATGTGATCTGCTCTGTGAACTTCATATGACCCAAAAGTATCCGGTGCAGAAGAGGACACAATGATGTCACACGCAGCGAGTGTGCTCAGTGTTTGCGGAAGTAAACACAGATGGTAACGGTGGAGCGTATCTGCCACTCCCCCGCTACCACCGATGGTGGAAACAGAAGTGTGACCGCTAATTAAACTGGCATCAACAGCCAGGTACTGCCTGTGCGTTCCAGCCACTTCCACTCCGTCAGAGCACATCCCTCAAGGTGGAAGGGCCTCCCCTGACCGCACCGAATATCCGGATATTCATCATTAATTGGATCTGTGTTGTTCAGGCTGTCATGAAAAGATCACATACAGGTCGCATAGGGGCATATGCTGTCTGAAGGTATTTACCTTTGATGACAACCGACGGACCGTGCACAAGAGCAACGGTCAATTAGACGTGAAATCCAGAGATGCATGGTGTTCCAACAATACACTAGTTATTATAATACTACAAACAATAAATATTAACAACAAATGAGCCTTCAAGCATCAAGCCCTCCTTGTGTCTCGACCTCTGTCTTGACAATCCGACAGCCTTGCTATCTGACATAAAAGAAGGTTTTACATTTAGTGTCGGATTATTGAGTCACGACTGTATTTCTGTGATTCTTACACTGTTATACATTTTTTTTAACATTATTATTCTTTTTTTGTTGCAACCTTTTTTAAGTTATTTTTTATTTTATTGTTTAGAATATTAATCTGCTTTTTTTATTAT